GCAAAAAGGAAAATCAAATGTACTATATATATATATATGATAGATGAGACAGAGTTTATGGTCTTGGTGAGCCGCAACTAGTAGATAGTGTGGCGCAACTGGTTTTGGGAGAGAGACATTAAGGTGGGACCGAGTGAGTGGGCCGGGTTGCTTTGGCTAACGCTGCATCCGAGGGACGCGGCCGCTGCTCAAGTGATGAGGCGTCCCTGGTTGCTTGGAACGTTGAAAGGTCACCTTGTATCATTAATTAACTTAGATTTTCCTAACGCATGCAGTACATGGCCCCTCCACCAATTTGTCTTTTATTCTTGTTCATATACATTTGCAATTGGTCGTTTCTAAAAGTTTAAAAATGGTGTATTTAATCTGTATTTTTAAAATATATATTAAAAATATAATAAATATATTTTTTATAATTAATTTACATAAAAAATAATAAAAATTAACTTTAATTTTAATATTATTATCACGTAAATAATTTTAATTAGTCAATTATTTATATTTAATTGAATTTTTTTATTTAATTTATATAAATTAATTATAAAAAATACATTTATTATATTCTTAATTTACGTTATAAAATACAAGATAAAAAAATTCATATAAAAATCACTGCATTAAATTTAAGTAATTTAAAATTAATAAAAATAAAAATAAAAAACCACTTGCCCCTTAAAAATATTAATAATAATTAATAATTATAATTATTTTGTTTTATTATTGTAGATAACTAACTAATTAGGTTTATTTATTTATAAATTGTCCTGTCATAAATCTTATGTGACATATATGCTATTTTAATAATAATAATAAATGCAATCCATTAATACTATTTATATTCAAACAAAATAATAGAAGTAGTCGAACTAAAAAGTGTAATTATGGTTACTAATTTAGTATTTATTAATGTTATTAACATTATATTAAAAATATTTATTTTATTTTATTTATTTGTTAAAAAATTAATAAAATAATTTAGATTTATTATTTAATAAATTAAAATTAATTTATAAATTAATATTTTTAAATATTATAATTATATATATTTAAAATATTAATATATTAATTAAAAATTAAATATAATTTTAATAATTTTAAAATAAATTAACTAATAAAAAATAGTTTTAAAGAGTAAATTGGTTGTCATAGCAACAACTTGAACTTAAAAATCATTTAGATCAATGCTGTCTGTTTCCCACTTGCGATGGTCAAATAAAGCTGCTATAGCATAGCAGGCATATTTTTGTTTTCTCTTTGGTAAATACAGTCATGTTTTTGTTGGACATAACTTTAACATCCTTAAAATCTAC